GCCGCAGTATGCCGCAGTACTGATACGTCCGTGCTGCCTAGCCATGGAGGTGTTCCTTGGAAGAATGACGAAAGGCGCCGCTGCACTGCCTATTGGCACTGGAAGTTGCCGCGTCTCAAAGGTAAGGCACACAGAATTGCAGAACCATTTACCAGAAGAAGTCTGAGAAGATCCGAACCCGAAATGCAGACAAATGTGAATCGCGCTTGAATAAAGCAGGGACAGGCAAGGCTCCACGAAGTAGGAGGAGTTCTTGTTTTGGACGTTGAGCATCTGCTCATCCACCTGCCGGTCATGTGCAAGACGGTGCAAACAAAGGGAAGTTCTCAATCCACCCACGGTACGTACACCTCCCCAAACCATAAACGGAAGCCACACTGGCAGGTCATCTCTGTCGGGCGTTAGTATGCCTCCTTCGTGGACATGCGGCCGCGGAAGAGTGCTGCCGCCGTAAGGTAGCGGCCGTGGCGCGGGTCCGCAGCGCACATCCTGTGGCATCCGATGGCTGGTGAGCAGAGCTCAGCAGAGAGTGGTCGACCGGACTCGCCAAAAGCATCTTTCACGCGGCGATCTACCGCTGGCCGAGGGGCATGTTTTTGGCGTCGAACATCTGCTGGGTCAGCTCAGGGACCTCAGGTTGTTCAGTCAACAGCGGCATCGAAGGCCGAATCTGCAAGCTGGGTCAGGGACGGTCAGGGCACGGTACTGCTGCGACCCGCGGGAGGTCAGCGGGGCGAAGCCCGTCATGAAGAAGTGCAGGCCTGGCGACTGTGTCTCAGAAGTCTTTGGCCGGGTTGTCTTCGGAGCTGAACTACACAGAGCCCAAACCGACATCGTCAGCACATCTGCATTCCAGGACACGCGGGAAAGGCACCAGGTTGACGGCAATCTTGCGCAGGTCACAGTTCAGCCTTACAGCCCCGCAACGCGGAGGAAAGCGGGTTTTCCAGCGCAGAGCCAGCCTTTGAACTGCAAAAATCAGCAAACAAGGCTAGAGTTGCAAAGCCCAGCCGCTGTCCCGGGAAGCGCAAGCAGCAGGTCACACCGCTCATGGCCGCAGAGACCAAGTGGTTCAGGTCACCGTAGGTTGGCGTCGTCAGCTTCCTCGGCAGCCAGATCGGAGATGTTCTTTCGGACCACCCGGCTGACTATGCCCACTACTGTTCCGTCCCCTGCAGGACTTCAACTTTCTTCACACCTATCCAGAGACAGGCGGTATGACATGCGCACAGCTGGCAAATCCAAACAAGGAAGCCGATGTCGATTGTGGAATCTGTTTCGCTTGAAAACCCCCCACCCATTGGCTTGACTCTTAACATGGTTATCGTTTGCTTTTACTCGTCGTTTTGCAGGACTTTGGGACTGTACGATCTGAGCTAACTCGTGTCGTTTCACAAGGAATTGATTGCTCTCAAAGTACGGGTGCATCCACTTAAAAAATGCTCTCGGGTTTTTATCATCCCTCAGCTGTCCAATCGGGACGAAGCGGAGAAGCAGCCACTCTAGTTCTCGCACACGTCATGTCGCCACACGACAATCGCCCCACAAGTCCTACTTCCCGCGTGCACCCCGACAGCAAGCGGAAGTTTAGTTCGTTCCCGTGCCTCGGTTTTCCCCGCTAACTTCATGCCACGGCACAGGGTTCGGAAGCAAATGTCGTAGAGCGCTTCATTATCCTTTGCTAGAACTTGCATGGGCCAAAGGTCGCTGGAATTAGCATGAAAGTTTGAGGTCTCACTGTCCGAGAAAGATTTTGGAGCGTCTTGCTTCTATCGGTGCTGCGCGGCCTCTTGCCACAAGAGACGCAGTGGCTAGTCGACTAGTTGGGTACATTGCCAAGTGGCCAGCAGGAAGGACTCGTCGGAGTTCTCCACCAGCTGGTGAAAGCTGAGGACAGCATTGTACGGCTCCACCACGGTGTCGGAGACCTTGGGCGACGGGATCACCGAGAAGGTCTCCATGATGCGGTCCGGGTACCTTGGATTTCAGATCTCTTGTGCCACTGCAATGAACCCAACCTCTGCAAAGTTCAACGTTCAACACGCTGGAAAGTTGGAATCGTTCGACCTAACAGCTCAGCCACCATGTCCTTGCATGGTTGACTTCACCAGTATCCAGAACGACCCTCTGACCGTAAGCCGTAAGCTGTGATAAGCTGTGCAATCCAGGGTGCTCCTCTCGCACCTGCAAGCGGAGGCCAAACACGGGTCTCTCGGGACAAATCCGAAGACGGCTGGCCTACAACTCTCTGTCGATGCCTATTGCACAGCTCCCTCGGCTTCCGCCTTGGAGATGAGCAGAGTGCCCATGCCGGCGCCGGTGCCGCCGCCGAGAGAGTGGCAGAGCTGAAAGCCCTGGAGGCAATCGCAGCCTGCGTGACCATTGACCCTCGTGTGTTCGTATGCAATCGAAATCTGGTGTCAAGGACTTAGCTGGATGTGTCTTCGCAAGAGCAAAGAACAGGGCACCGTGAGGAGTTCGATCTCAGGGAAATGCACCATGTTGGCGTGGATTGCGTAAATGCCCGACGAAATAAACACCTTGGAGACCCCTGAACCCTGCAAGCCCTTGTAGGACCGAAAGTTTAAGCATGATAATCTCAGACAGCCGCCTAAATCCCTCCCGTGAGTACGGTGAAGTAGGAAAGGTGCGAAGTACCGAAACCCAACCACCCTCCACCCCTCCCCCCCACAAACCCCCAAGGAAACCCTGAAAAACACAAGAAACCCTCAAATCACAAATCCGCAAAATCCTCGGGATCATAGCCAATCCTAAACTAGACTGCTCATGTAGTAGGCTTCTCGATCGACGCTGACGAAGAGATTACAGTACCACACAGAGCGGCTGTCAACAGCAAGTGCTCAGCAATCCATGCAGATCTCAGGATATCCGCGCGGCATTGCCTTCAGCCTCCTTGCGCACGACGTCGAGCACCGAGTCGATGAGTTCCGCACCCTCAGATCTTCTGAACGCTTCCGGCGGGGGGGGGGGGAAAGAACTGACCGCACGCCAAGCAAACATCCGTCAAACATCGCAGTGAACTGAGCGGTCGGCCTCAGTGTAGTGACCTCAGAGAATCTAAACAACAGTGTGTGCATGGCATGTGCGCATTCCCTGACACACGTGGCTCCGAGACGATACAGGGTCGCCATTGCTAGCGGCACTCGCGAGACCGAGCACTGAGCACCATACCCTTGGCCCAGTTGTTGCCGGCTCCTCCAAAACAGGCGACAGCCGTCAAATCATCCATCACATGTTGGCAGAGGGCTCTGTCCTGTCTGTCCAAAGACGAAGTTGTCGGGACGGAAGAGCTGACCAAAAGGCCCGGCTCGGACGGAGTCCATCGTTCCTCGCAAGCATGCGGCTTGCAAGCTTTCATCTGCACTGCCGACACAATTCTGGCACAAAGCATGAGCAACGCAGCCTGAAGACGGGCGTCCTTGAGCCTTGAACCCTCAACCACGAAACTACCCTTCACGCACGCACAC